AAAAAAAAAAAAAGAGTCTCACAGACTTTCCTGCCCAGGCTGGCTTTGAACCATGATCCTCAGATCTCAGCCTCCCGAGTAGCTAGGATTACAGACATGAGCCACCAGCACCCTGCCAGGATGTTTGTATTTTAAGTCTTTCACTTCTCAAATATATAAATCTTAAACTCATTATTAAATCTCCCTCCCATCTTCCCTTTAAGATTTTTTTGGTATTGGAGACTGTACTCAGGGCTTTGAGTTTGGTTAGCCAAGCCTTCATCATTCAAGTCACACCTCAAGCCCTCCTGTTTTATTTGTTTTCAGACAGAGATCTTTGCTCTGAGCCATCCTCGGATAACTATCCTCCTGTGTTCTTTTTTATATTATTACTTAATCAATTGCATCTTTCCTCTTCTCTCTCAACACTTGTTAGTTTCCACAGGAGCTGTCATTAATAATAAATATCCTTGTGCCTTAACTGGTTCAAATACCTAGGCATTTACTTGAGAAAATTTTTTGGAAGAAGAATTAAAGAGACAAAGGATAGGATCAAGATTAAAACAAGTAATTCCTATAAACTACATTAACATTTAAAGATGAAAAAGCATTGTGAGCACATTGTAGGACCCAATTTAATTCACATCATTATCCAAACTATGAACCATACCGGATTAACAGCCGAGTCAGGATTGATCTGCAATGTATAGATGTCGTCTCTTGAATACTGGAAGAGGCCATAGTATGGATTCAGCATTTCATGTGACAGGAGATACAACCATTCCCTAGAAACAAGATGTGGTATTTGTTACGGTATGCCATTAGTTGCATTAGCAAAACTGGATATGTATGTAGATATGGATGTGTGTGAACCAAGGGCCCTTAAATGCTCTATATTTGAGCCACATGCCAATCCAAGAACTTTTTTAAATAAAATGAAATTAAGGACGAATTTTATTATATAAAATCATACTTAAGGGGCTGGGAAGTTGGCTCAGTGGTACAATGCTTGCCTTGCATGCCTGAGGCCCTCCGTTCCATTCCTCAGCACCACACAAAGCAGAAAAAGCCAGAAGTGGTACTGTGGCTCAAGTGGCAGAGAGCTAGCTTTGAGCTGAAGAGCTGAAGGACAGTGCCCAGGCCCAGAGTTCGTGCTCCATGACCGACAAAAAAACAAAAAAATCATACTAGAAAAGAAAACACACTAGAAAAATCTACCATGACCAAACAGCAAATGAAAATACTTATTATACTAAAGTCACTGCTCAACTTTTTTACACTTTAGCATCAGAAAGTATAAGGGTTTTACCTAACAGTTCAGTTATTTATGAGATGCCATAACCCAAAACATTTTTTTAAATGCTCCATGATAAATATAAAACAAAGGGAGAGTTTGGTTTTATTTTAAAATACTCATATTGTATAGACTACCCTGGTCTACTCCACTGAGGGTAGATTTATGTAGATAAATAATAATGCAAAATAAATTTGCTCTTTCAGAAAAAGGAGTGCTTTGATGCTTGTATTTTTCAATAAGTTTCACAGCTGGGTACTGGTAGCTTACACCTGTCTTTTCTTTTTGCCAGTAATGGGACTTGAACTCTGGGCCTAGGCTCGTCTCTCAGCATTTCAGCTCAAGGCTAGCACTCTACCACTTAAGCTACAGCACCACCTCTGGTTTTCTGGTGACTTATTGGAGATAGTCTCATGGACATTCCTGCACAGGCTGGCTTTGAATTGTGATCCTCAGATCTCAGTCTCCTGAATAGCTGAAGCTAGGATTACAGATGTGAGCCACTGGCGCCCGGCTTTTTTTTTTTTTTTTTTTAACAGTCATGGGCCTTGAACTTAGGGACCTGGGCACTGTCCCTGACCTTTTTGCTCAAAGCTAGCACTCTACCACTTTGAGCCACAGCACCACTTCTGGCTTTTTCTGTTTATGTGGTACTAAAGAATCAAACCCAGGGCTTCATGCATGCTAGACAAGCACTCTACCACTAAGCCATATTCCCAGCCCACACCTGTAACTCTTATGGCCTGGGAGCCTGACATTGTTTGAGGACATTACAGACAGAAAAAAATTCCTTAAGAGTTCTTCTTGGGGCTGGGAAGGTGGCTCAGTGGTAGAGCGCTTGCCTTGCATGCATGAGGCCCTGGGTTCGATTCCTCAGCATCACATAAGCAAAAGGAAAAAAGCTGGAAGCGGCACTGTGGCTCAAGTGGTAGAGCACTAGCCTTGAGCTGAAGAGCTGAGGGACAGTGCCCAGGCCCAGAGTTCAGGCCCCACGACCGGACCCAAAAAAAAAAAAAGAGGTCTTCTTGATGAGAAACTAGATGAAATGCCATCCAAGCTACCAGAAGCCTAACATAGATGAATTCCACTCATTACGTACCTAGGCAAGAATCAACACTCTATCTGAAAAATAACCAGCAAAACTCAGGGCCAGAGGCATGATTCAGTAATACGCAAATGCTTAGGAAATGAGAAGTCCTGAGTTCAAACCCCAGTATAGCCAAAAAATAAAAGAAATATTATTGCTCATTTCATAATTTTTTCCTGTATAAAGCCTAACACAAACTATGATAAAAAAAATTTTTTTTAGAGCCAAGTGCTGGTGATTCACAGCTGTAATCCTAGCTACTAAGGATCTGAGGATCATGATTCAAAGTCAACACAGGCAGGAAAGTCAGTGAGACTCTTATCTCCAATAAACCACTAGAAAACGGAAGTGGTACTGTGGCTCAAGTTGTAGAGCATGTGTCTTGAGCTGAAGGACAGCGCCCAAGCCCAGAGGTTCAAGCCCCATGACTAACAAAAAAAAAAATGGTCAGAGATACAAAGACATTTCCCATAGATACACTGAAGGGCTAGCCTGAAGTCTGTGGGCAATGTTTTAGAAACCTCACAATAAATAGTACCAGTAAAGACAGTGCCCAGGCCCAGAGCTTAGGCCCCACCACCGGACCCCAAAAAAAAAAAAAAAAAACAAAGCCCCAAGTTCAAACCCCAGTATTGAAGAGAAAAAACTTGTATATTTTAGTGCAAATCAAATCAAATCACTAGTCTAGGCCCTAAGATATTGTATTCTAATGTTAATTCTTAATAGTCTTCAACCAGGGAAAAGTTAAATGATTTTGATATTATGGATGAAATAGGTTGAATAGTACATTTAAAACAGATGGAGCAGAATACTATTAATAATTAGTCTAGCAAACTGTTTCAAAATTTTATATGATGAAGTCTAAAGCAAATTACTATCATATACCATGCTTCAAAACTTAGGAGAAAAAAATGTACGTTTCCACATATGCATCTTTCCAATACATATACTGATATATTTTATATGCTTTATATGTCTAATGCATCTACTTCTATTTCTTTAAAGAAAATTCGCCAGGCGCTGGTGGCTCATGCCTGTAATCCTAGCTACTCAGGAGGCTGAGATCTGAGGATCACGGTTCAAAGCCACTCTGGGCAGGAGAGACCGTGAGACTCCTATCTCCAATAAACCACCAGAAAACCGAAGTGGCGCTATAGCTCAAGTGGTAGAGGGCTCGCCTTGAGCTGCAGAGCTGAGGGATAGCGCCCAGGCCCAGAGTTCAAGCCCCACGACTGACCAAAAAATAAAATAAAATAAAAAGAATACTAATTTATTGTATATATAGATACCATCAGCAGATATTTCCTAATAATTAAATTCTCTTCATAAGTGAATTATTCCCTAAACTATTAAGCCCTAACAATGCTATGCAAAAGATGTTTTCTAAAATTCTAAAGAAATTACCCATTTGTAAGCTTTTTCAAGTGACAGAATGACAATTGTACAGATAAAAATAAATGATGCTGAGGCTGGGAAGATGGCTCAGTGGTAGAGTGCTTGCCTTGCATGCCTGAGGCCCTGGGTTCGATTCCTCAGCA